TGTGAAAAGAAGTAAAAGGGAAAGCGAGAGTGTGCCTGCTAAGAGATTCGCGGAAGAAAGCAACCACACACCAGCAGAGGGAAGAAGAAGAAGAAAAGGCGAAGAAAGTGTAGAAAAGTTTCGCCGTGTTCGTGGCTCTAAATTAATGGCTTGACACATGTCAGCCATTACAGAAATTATGGCACAACACAAGACTCGCGCGACAATCAACCGATGGGCCAACCGGGCGAACTGGCTTACGTGGCACCACCTCAGCTCTTGGCCCCTCATCTCGCTCTAAGCTATAACATAACTCTATATTGCGAATTAGACGACATCATAGTTGCCACATAACTGTGAAATTGCATCGGCCTGCCTTCCATCTTCGCCTCACCAAAAATTGCCGCCGCTCATCTGACACCATCTTAATTTTTGCCATTCAGCTGTGCGGTCGCTTCGTGTTGAGCTAAAAATGGCGTTGAATAAATTATGTAACTCGCAAGCTTAGCTTGTCCAGGCGTTCTCTCACGCTGCTAAGCGTTAAATTATCGCGCTGCTCCATCTCACAAAAGCAGTCTGCTCTACATCTCCGTTTTCGCTGATATCTTCTTCAGCGCACCGCCGACCTTGCTCCTTCTGTGGCTGATGAGAATGTAATGAACTTAATTCCAAGTTTAGCGTGAAAACGTTTTGAAAAAGTTCATTTGCTTTTACACACATACATACATATATACCAACATACATATACATATACGAGCAAATTGAAAAACGTTGTTATTATTCAAACAAATGTTTAATAAAAGCGGCAAGGCGCCGGATGCCACGCCGAGTTTCATGAGCATGTAAAACATCCAAATTGGTTGTTCACGGAGTTTGATGGGTCATGATTGTAGTCCTAAGAGTTTCTTGCCATTTTTCAATTGAAGAAAAGTGAATTTTTTTACGTTGAAAACCAAATTTGAATTTTTTAACTCATTTTTGCTAAACTTTTATTTAAGACACTGGCTCAGAGATATTTGATCAATTAATCAAGGAAAATAGGACATTCCTGGAAAATTGTACAGGGGTACCCACTTTGCAGTTTCGGAAATAAACATAAATTAAATGCAATTAAATTCAAAATTGCCTTGGCATTATATGTGAATCACTATTCAAATCCCCGGCCCGGAAATTTTTGTCAACTTCTATCTATTTGTGGCAACCACATTTTGGCACATACCGACCAATACACTGTGCACACTAAACAAACCGCACTCTACTAACGCCCCTGGTTACCGAGCAATAGGACGAAGAAACAACGTCTGGTCAAAAGTTATTATGACGATGACGGCTCGGGTAATATCTCAGACCTAACTTGAAGTATGTTCGATTGCAAGTGCTCAGGAGTTAGCAGCTTAACTGGCTTTTCGAACTGTGTGTTGTTCAAGCGGCCAATCGGTGTACGAGCGGGACTTTATATGCAAATTAAGAAAGTCCCGATCCAGAAATGTCTGACTTTTAACTAGAAGAAAACACATATGGTTTGACATTAAAGTTTGACAGTTATAAAAATACAGTTCTGTTTTTTTTTAAACGGGAAAATGGATTACCCTTTACTACAAATGTTACTCAACCCAACATAAATTGATCGAGAATTCTGCACTTGGAGCAGCATTTCACCATCGTTCTTCGTAGAGATTATTTAGGTAGTACATCTCTCTGGACCCCATTACAGATTATGTGGTCTTAAAGCTCGATCTTTGTAAGAGCATTGTATTTCTTCATCGCGGCGGTCTATTAATCTATTAATGTTCTTTCTAGTAAAGAAAACAGCAAAAGTCACACGAACTTGGAGGCTGGGGCAATGTTGCACTTTTTCTGTTATCTAAAATTCATGAACAAGCAATGAAATGTAAGGTGTGATTTGTCATTCTGCACAAGCGGGAGATTGCATGGATAGCATGACTTGATCCAGTCAACAACCCAACATCACCAGCGACTTCCCCTATTGTGGTAGGCCTTCCTAACCATTTCTTTCAACACCTCTACATTTTCATAGGTTCTTTGACCCTCTCAGCGCGTTAAGCTACAGAATAAATCAGTATATTTGCAAAGGCTGCGAAAAGTCTTAAGACTACAGTAACGTAATTTTAACTCTGAAATACGAGAGACTTGTCCCTATCAGGCAGCGGAAGAAACAAAGGGCTCAATAGGAAAATCTCTGCACATCATTGCAAACGGCTCTAAATAGAACGGAAATGGAAAGTTCCTACCAACCCAACCAGAAAATAGACAATCACTTCAGCTGCCAAACGACAGCGCCATATAAAATGAGATCCATATCTATGTTGAAAGTCAAGCGGTCATGCAATATAAAGGCGAAAGTGATGGCGCTTTGTGAAGAGAAAATTGAATGATTAGCAGAAGGAAGGAAAGCTCACACATGGATATTGAAGATAAAAAGATAAAGACGATAAACTGGCTGAAGTAGGAGTACCTGCTAGTACCATTCAGGAAAATGGAGTATACACAAGAAATGATTTCGTATCATCGGTTTAATGGGCTTTGGAAACGAACAAGGAGATACAGCATAACGAAATCATTTGACAAACATATGTAGCAAAGCTTCTCAGGTAGGTTTGACATCCCACACCCTTAAATTTTTTCCAGTTGAGACAGAGAATGATCTCATTTGGCTGTAGCAATGAAAGGGGATATACAACATGCCTGCTTGTTTAGAGCACAAGAATGTTCTTCAAACCTGAGGCATCTCTCGCGCGTTAAATGGCATCTCTCGTGGCAATATAGTTGTGGTCCATCCAATAATAGCCATTTAGTCGTCTAACTTTATACTTGATTCGAATTGAACCAAATTTCAAAGAAACCAAAACGAAGAGCAAATCCTCTCCGAATAAGCATCCTCGCTCAGGGCAAGATCATTTCCGTAATTAGAGTCACATAGTTTTTGCTAAGAGTTTGAAGTTTGCAAGATCTAAATTAAATGAGGAAATATCTCGTGGGCGAATTAAATATCGCACATAATTTTGATTTTCTGCAGCGCCGTTATTTATAACCGTTTCTGCTTGCGGTGATCACGAGCAATAACAATTTGATTAAATGCTTTACGCTTATCGAAAGTGTCGATAATTTGCAACTGCGGGTTGATGTATTGACCACAAACAAAATTAGCATCCAACAAAGCCAATAAAATTTATTTAACAACTCAATATAAATGTGTTTTCAGTAATCGTGAATACGAAAGTGTTTTAAAAGTTTCAGCCTGCAGGACACAAGCAAGAATATAAATGTGGATGTTGGTGTGTTGCGTGTGAAGTCTTCGCCATGAAATAAGCTCCATTGACCCAGGTAGGAATGGGGCGCTCTGTGTGCTTATGGAGGCGGAAATTCAAATTAAAAGCGGCCACTTGAGTGCCAAACACAGGTTGCGCCAGCCCCCGTCCACACTGCCCACGGCACTTGACTGTCGCCTGTTGGCTGTCGCCATGTCCTTACTGAAAAATTAATATTCATTTTAATTTCGAGCTCAAGCGAGCTGATACACCATTTGCGCCACCTGTGCTGCGCTAAGTGTACAAGAGCCCACACAGCCACATACATACACACACATGCACAAGCACAGAGCTATTCGTAGGCGAATTTAAATATTTGTACTGAACTGAAGTAGGTATGCTTGTGTGCATTTCCATTTATGTATTTGTTAGCACGCCGAATGGAATGATCCGGCGTGCGCTACTAAATTAAGTGGAGAAAAGTCCTTTGGTTGTTTAAGCTTTTAGTGATGGCTGAAATATTGTACATTGCTTAAGTGAGTGTCTTGAATTTTTATCACTTAGGAATGGCTGAAAGCGAAGAGCGAGGGTAAAAGATTTACTGAGTGAAAGGTGATGCGGGCGCTTACCCGCTTTCAATTTTGATTACCTTTGTACATGACACAGAGCTCTTGGATAAGGTCTGAAGTATTGAACCGCTTAAGAAGTTGTTTTCTAATCTATCGCCGTCCACATTCCTCTGTTGGAGTTGAGCTGGGCGGTCAAAAAATGCGTAATTTACGAAAACAGTGTCACTCACTTGCTTATGTAGAGTCGGTATGGTGGTACCCTTAGTCTGTGCCAGTTACCGTGAGCTAAGCCTAGATATTCATTAGGCGCCAAATCTTGGAAAAGCAAAAGAAAAGAGGATCAATATCCATCACCTCTCCTTCGATCTTAAGCCAGCATTCGGCAGCAGAGAAGAGGATACATCTACCCCGGTATGTCTGCATTTGGTGTCCCTGCAAAAACTCCATTACGATCGGGTAGACACTCCCTGATCCGCTCAACTCCATTTTTAGAAAAAATGGCGCCTTGTCGTGGGGAATCTTTGGTTGAATAAAGAAGCCAAGGGTATGGCTCTGGTAATGAACGTGGATAAGACGAATTATCTCCTGGCAACAACCAGTAAGTTCTCTCCGGACGAAGAGGGACCAGGTCGATGTTGGGAGTTTTTAAGAGAAAGGTCTTATGCACATTATAATACCGTCTGCGGAGACATTCAAAGAGTTGTGATCCGGATGACTTGGACTCGTGTATTCCACTTTGAATGTTTTCGATGCAGTATTGCTGTTGAAAGCAGAAGAAGAGAAAGACTTGGCAGCAAGAATCGGTAAGAAGGCATAAATGCGCGTTCCTGTTAAAAGCGATGTCCTCACCACCAAACAAGGATAGTGGCTGACTACCGCTACGAATTGCAGGGCAGTTGAATCAGGTCTCAGCGGCGCCAAAATGAATTACAATGATTTGCAGAAGGATAAGTCAAGAGACAGTTTTCAAGCGTTTATTAGGTGTCGTCATCGCCATGGTTCTCACGCATAAGTCGTTCGAAGAATCAAACTAAAAGTTTTACTGAATCACGAAATGTTTTTCTTTATCATGACTAATTAATCAACCGTTATAACATTGAAATACATAAATTCTGTATTATCTCTTTGCTATTCTCGTATTTACCCATATTAACTGTATATTTCTGCTTTCTTATCTTTCCAGTTTCGTGCGGCGAAGAAAGGGTAATTTCGGTCTCACTCTTACCGTTTTCGTCTATGGTCAACTGGGCCAAATATGCCGAGCCGAGGATGCGAGTATAAATCAAATTTAGCCATTTCCAGTTGCCTGCGCAGTAAGAGTATTTAAATCAGTGCAGCACAGTTGAGGGCTCGCAAGTTTTGCGGTGGCCGCACATACCACACGCCACATATTCCGCACCAGAACAACAACATTCAGCAGATACAAATACCGAAATTGGCACTATGTCCAGCCATTCGGGTACGATTGGCCGCAAGCGCGGTGGCAGCGCCAGTGAGTACTACTTTGGTGGTGGCGGCGACCAGATGCGCCGGCAGCGCTCAGCTGAATGGCACAGCCACCATGGCTACAGCAGCAGCGAGGACGAGTATCAAAACACGGCTCAGTCGACGGCCTTCGACACGCAACTCTTGGCACAGCTGCTGCTGCAGAGTCAGCAATTGGCAAGTGAGTATTTTGGGGCGAGTGCAAACGCTCAAGGGCTCTAAGAACGAGCAGGCGAGTGGCGAGTGGCGAGGGGGTGGATTGGTTGATGCTGGGTCGGGGTGACAGCTGTAATGGCCAAATATCTTATTCAATTAGTAATGGACAGTCTTAAGCTGAATTTAAGCGGATTAGTGAAATGGACGTTCATACGCTTGGACACTGGCGCACAGCCCAGCCAAGTGGAATGGACGAGTAGATAAATTTAGGACGAACGAAATGACAATTTACGGCATAATGTGGTAGGAGTAGAGTTCGAACGTACTTTATTAGACTCAATTAAATGGCTTAAGTCGAACCGAGAGGGAACAGTCAATGGGTTTAAGCGAAAAGCGATATGCATTGTGCTTGTGTTTGTTGCACGAAGTGGCACCGATGTCAACAATTCACCACACTTCCACACTTTCCTGTTATGATAAATTATTTTAGCTGCCTTGTAAAATCGAACTCTTACTCTTATTTGCAGATCTGGATCGTTATGGCTCTGACTGTGACAACCCGGAAATATCCACTTCACGCCTGACTGAATACCCGAACTCATTGCGTGACCACAGCGCCGTCTCAGCTTTTCATCTACAAATGACACAACAAAACACAGGACTGTGTTCACCCATGAAACAACAGACTGCACTCGCTGCCTCCGTTGCAGCAACACAAGCCACTGCCCAAAATAAATATCAAGGCAACCAGCCGTCACCGAGTGTGGCACTTCTGCCAAGCAGCACAAACGTAACGCGCAGTACAAACCCATTCCTCAATGCCAAATACGACTCACAATCAAACTCGGACTCATTGAGCGATCGGCTGTCATACTCTGGCAGCGTTGTTATGCTAGATCGTTTACAAGCAGCCGTGGAGAGCGCAGCCACTGGCAATGGCGGAGCCGGCTTAAGTGCTCTGAATTCTTCCTTTTTATTGCCCACCAGTTCAACTGCTAGCAGTCTCAATCCAGGTGCACGTGAGAGCCTAGGTGGCGGAGCGACGCGAAACCATCGCACGAAAAGCGGTCGCACGCTAAGCCGTAACGGCACAGCTGGAAATGGTGGTGCAGGTGGTACTACCGGTGGTATGACCTCCTCTAGTAGTGGCGCCTCGTCATCAGCAGAGACTGCAGCTGCCATAGCCAGTCGAAGCGAGCGCGAGAAGCTTAAACTTCAACAAATTCAAAACGAATTACGTGAGTACGCGCAATCGACGGCAGAAAGCTCCATTGGTTTGGATTTGGAGGAATTTGGCGCTTCCGGCGGTGAATCTGAACCACCACCAGAGCCAGCGCCACCGGAAATTCCGCCACGCACACAGTCGCTTCTGATGTCCTTACGAAAGCACTCGGATTACAAGCTTAAATACGACGACAAAGGCGACCAAAAGCACGAGGAATTCATACCAACCAGTCAATTGCAGCAACAACAGCAACCGTCGCAGAAAGGTAAGATTTAAAAAGCTTTTGGGTAAGCATATTTGTAGCAACAAGGCAATGTAAAGTTACAGGCACATGTGACATAACATTGGCTTGCAAAAGTAAGTTAAGCTTTTATATTCCTCGAAAAGCTCAAAATTTGTTGAAAAAAGCTATATTTATAATGAGAATGAACTATTAAAGCTAGAAAACGAAGCACAAATAACGGGAAAATTTGTTGCCAAGCTTTTTAAGGATACTCCTAAAAGCTCTGAAGCTTTTGCTAGCTAAAGCAGCGCGAGTTAAGCCAAAAAGCTAAAGATAAAAACTAAGGCTCTGTATAATAATAAATAGGTTTTGTGAAAATTTTTAATATATTTTGTTTTTTATATTTTCTTTTTAGATTTCATAATTACCGACAATTTACGTTCTGCTGAAAACCAATCGAAATCAAGCGATTCGCAGAGCCAATCCGGGTGAGTGAAACGAGTTTCTTCTATTAGCATTTGTAAATAGAATTGTGTCTTGGTGAAAAATCTATCAGTGGATTCTCAGGCTGTGGTGGCCCATATGTGATTTGACCTTCTATTCCATACTGGTTCAAATCTTCTTCATTTTTTCCATTCTCTTCTGCGCTTATTTTGTATTGTTGCATGTTTATTGAACTTTATTGCTTTCCATTGTTAATGGACGGTACTTTCACGGTCTTCCCAATTGCATTTCTGCTAAATAATTCGATTTGGGAAACATTACAAAATCTTGATTCAATTTAGAAAAATTACACGGACACACACACACACACATACACTTAAAAACTAATATATTTAATATTTTGCTGCACGCATTCGTACATACGAGTATACTTAGCTATACATATACATATACATATGTACATACGTATGGGTGGGTGCAGCGATAGCAACAGGATATTGCACATCCACACATACACGCAGAGGCGAAAGCTTCAGTTAATTCCGGCAATAATATCATCTTTACAAAAGTATCTTATTATGCTCGTGTTGGCGCAACTTCTTTGGTGCATTTTATTACCTTTGCTGTTTATTGTGAACCGTTATGAGTGTGCGACGTGCATGGTATTCATGTTGTCAGACTTTTTTTTTGAGAGAATCGGAGGGCTACGCTCAACCTGCAGACTGACTAACAGTACATATTTTCTACCCAATGGAAAACTTCACTCTGCTTATGATCTCGTAGACACTTTGAACGGCAATTGGCTTATGCTTTACCGCTTCGTGCGAGCGCAACTGACCCTCTTTATAAGCTACGGTGTTTTATGGGAAACGCAGCTGAGATTGTTGAAAGGAAACCTTCAAATATTTTAATTTTTTCCATCTTGAACCCGGATTAAATACTTGCCGTTCAAACATGAGAGCATCTTCCTCAGGTCTTTGTGACCGTGGCTATAAATACCGATAGTGGCGCAAAGGTTAAGGACCTGATCGTTAGAGCCATATGGAGCTATGGAGATCGCTTATATATTTTTGGTTGATAACTTGTCAATTATAAAGTCTTACTAGTTCCGCTTGAGTTTGCTGAAGTCGGAAGTGTGAGTATAGGTAAAGTTGTGCTCCACAAATTGGTACTAAATCTTAAATGCACATTAGGACGTTGACTAGCCCTATACTAGCCCTAAACTAGTCGTAAATTATATAAAATTGGCAGCTTCGTGTGACCAAGCCAACTATCTAAAATGAAATGACGATCAACCATTCAGAGACAGCTCTGTTTCTAGTGGGTAAGAAGGGATGAGGTTCACGGCTCCATAATCGCTGTATATAAGAGTTTTAAGTTTTAACCAATTTCCCAGAACGCTAACGGTATAAAAATTGCCAGCCGCCAATCTGACGTATCCCGTTCCAATCCTCCTGGTACAAAATTTAACAAGGGAGATGTCCTTCAGATCATTTAGCGCAATAAAGTTAACTAGTAGTTTTTTCTACCGGGCATTTATCACTGACAAGGCAGGCACCCCACCTCAGACTACTACCGGGACTAGAGTTATGGACACGAGTACTCACACACTCCATGGGCAATACAACAAAAGACTGTAAGTTCTGACCATGCTATCTCTTATTCACATCTACTTACAGGCACATCCGTATATAGATACGCACATACTCGTGAATACATGTAAAAGAAAAAATTGTTTTTGCAAAAATATTTCTCTATTGTGCTTTCGACTGTTTTTTTTAATGGATATTGCATCAACGTTATCGCATTTCATATGGATGACAATAATTTAAAGTACAAATAACTGCTGTTGCAACTTCCTTGCGCCCTTGCGTTCTTTCCATTGCGTCCGGCGGATTACTGTTAACTGCAGAGCAAAGTTTATTTTCTTGGGAAAAGTGTTTTGTTCGCTCATCTTTTGTCAGTCACTTAATCAGGCTCCGCAGGTAATGGACTTATTGCTTATTTCATATACACCCATACTCGTACATCTTGGAGTATTCACACATCCAAAATTATAGAAAATTGATATTTCTTACAAAGCTCCAATTGTACATATATAATTATATATATGTGAGATATTTCAACTAATTTATTTCTACCCACTCCCTCTCCTTGAAATCATCGTCGTAAACTTTCTGTTCTCAGCTCTGGTTTCATAATTGGAAACAGGGGCCAGGTCTGGTAGATTCAATATAAGCCCACCTAAAGCAGGGCAGCCAATACTACGCGGCTCCCACACCTTTCGTAAATTTTTCGTATATTTTCTCCTCAATGGCTTTTTTACTTACTTGCTTACTTTGCTGGTCTAGGCACCGTTCACGCGATTTTAACCGATTTTATAACATCGCGCCATTTATTCCTTTCTCTCGCTGCCTGGCGCCGATTTCAAATACCAAGTAGAGCTAGGTGGGTCTCTACCTGGTCTTTCCAATGGAATGAAGGTCTTACGTCGGAAGAGGACTTAACTTTTCAATTGCCTACTCAGTTCAAAGTAGCACCAGACTGACATTGTTGTTGGTGTTAATGCTGGTTCCAACTAGACGAAATCATCTACGAACTCAAAGTTAGGAATGTCAACAGTGACGTGGGAGCGAATGCGATGACTGTTTGTTTGGTGACAGGAGATATATTCGGTCGGCAGAGCAGAAATCACGGAGTGGTGGCCAGCTTACATAGCCGTATAAGTTTTTCGGGGATACCAAATTTAGGCATAACGTCGTAAAATCAGCTACTATTTGTGCTGCCGAATCTGCTTCAAAAGCGACGAAAAGGTGGTGTGTGTCGATCCTCTTTTCACGGGTCTTTTTCACAATTTGGTTGACTTACCAATTCTAAAGCCACACGGATAAGGTCCAATCAGTTTGTAGGCGGTGGACTCTAACCTTACAGACAATACGCTCGACAGGACCTTATAGTCGATATTAAGCAGGCTTAGCTCACAATAACTGGCGCAGACAGTGGGGTTCCCTTTTATGGATTGGGTAGAGTACACTTAAATTCCAATCGTCGGGCATGCTTTCGTCCGACGATAGTCTGCAAAGTAGCAGATGCATGAGCCTTGTGAGCTCTTCATCGCCATGTTTGAATAGTTGTGACGGTAGGCCGTTAGCTCCAGCCTCTAGGTTGTTTTTTTAAGCTGGCGATTGCTATTCGAACTTCTTCGTGGTCAGGTAATGGCACGTCTTTTCTCTCGTCATCGAATGGGGTTTGGGGTCCACCATCTCCGGATGCTCCAATTTCATAGCCATTCAGTAGGCTGGAGAAATGTTCCCTCCATAAATTCATTCCGCTCTGAGCATGGGTGGCTAGATCACATCTTTTGTCCTACAAGAGTCCGTTTTGAAACCTTCTGTTAGTCGTCGTACCTTCTCATAAAATTTTTGAGCATTGACCTTGTCGGCCAGCTTCTCAATCACTTCGAACTGACCAATCTCGGCCCCTTTCTTTTTTGTTTGCAGATGCGTCTTGATTCCCTCTTAAGTTTTCTCTATCTATCCCATCACATCGTGTCAATCTTCTCCTAGTTGAAAAATTTCTCTTTGACGCGGATTGTGGCGAGACGTTCATTCACCGGGGTGAATGCCAGTACTCGACAACGGAGTCTCTCTCCCATTACAAAGCCGACACCCAAGGCTCCACGCGGATTAGTTACCGCATCTTGCAAAAGTATTGCCCACGCTTCCAGGGTGAGCGATGTGGACTCAAGAGTGGAAATTGAGTATAGCCTCGCAACTGTAATATTGCAGGGTGGTATTCTTCAGTTCTAAAGTCTCCTTTGTCTTTATAATCGATCAAAAATATTTCTTCCCAGCGCCATGGGGCCGTTGCCATCAGTTTGTTAATTGACTGACAGAGTACACAATGAAAAAGCTTACGTAAAAACCAATATGGAGCAAAAGCATAATTCTGGTATGAGAGTCAAGTGTTCGGGTACATTTACAGAACAAAAGCTCTTCAATGAGGGATATGTTAGTTTATAGATTAATGGAAATGGGTTCTCTCTTCTTAATACTATCCACTATATTGCACTCTGAGCGAAAATAAACGGGCACTTGGAAAGGTTTTGTACACAGGTCGTCTACTTGAGAAGGTGCACGAAGCCACAGCCAAATCAATAATGGTACCGGAAAACCTCCAAAGCCCTGCAATGATGCACTTCTTGCTGTATCTCCAGTTTGAAGATCTTAGGGAATTGAGGTTCGTTTATGGTCCTTTGCCCCTTGACTTATTGTTGTCAGGTATGATCAGCTTCTGTCTGCTGAGCTCCAGACAAAACGCATTGCCCTATTACGACTTGCCCTACTTCATTTCCTGCATTTAGTTTTGCATCAATCATTACATAATTTTAAGGCATGTGATGCCAAGAGGCAATTTCTCATTAGCATACCTCCAAAAGCGGGGAGTGTGCCCTCTTGGACGCTAGTAAAGCTTTCAGCTTCGGGCCATATGCTTTGCACGTAGTCTTCACTACTCTTCATGCCCCTGTACGTTTCTACAGCTATCAGCCTGACGAAACAAGAGTGTTTATTGCCCGTGCTTGACGTCTCTGTGTGGAACTGGTACGTCCGTGGCTACGTCCTGTTGTAAAAGGCTTCCATCTTAAGCCAAGTAATCGGCTATAACGATGCCATCATTCTCTAGTACACAATAAAAGTGGTGCAGGAGGAAATGAATTATCAGGATTAGGTAAAATTTGATGCTATAAAGGACTGTCGCTTCTTGTATTTCTTATATAAAAGACATTGTTGAAGACAAGGCTTAAAAGTATTATTATATATGTATTAATCTTTTCCTTCATCCTACCTTTCTACTCACCTACAGCCCCATCTTCCCTCTTCTCCGTTGCTGCTACAGAGTAAAGTGTAAATAGTTTTATGTAAAAATGCAAGAAACATTCTAAGCTCGCTTATGAACGCCTCTAAAACGCGGTTGTACGATTTCCAACGATTATATTGCAAGTAAAATTGTTATATTAAATAAAAATATTAAAATAAAATCAAGA